CACACACACACACACACACACTGTGAAACTTTCTACCCACACCGGGGGTGGAGGAGATGCAGGATCTTGAGGTGAAGCAACCCGACGTCACTCACACAGGGTTCTGGGAGCAGGGGCCCAGAGGCACCTCTCTGGGTTAGGTTTCAGGGAGCCCAGGGGCCGGTGGTGCCCGGGCCGGCAGGAAGGCCAGGGCAGACCCCAGCAGAGGCGGTGACGGCAGAAACACCATTCGCTAAGGCTGGGCTCTGAGGCCCAAATACCAGCAGTCATCCCACTCCCCCACCCATGGGTCCCTGAGCCTCAGTGTGCCCATCTGTCAAGTGGGAATGTAGGAGCTGGGACTTCCCGGGGCTGTTGTGGGGATCCACTGAGCTACCGTGGCTGGCCGTGGGACCTGACGTGTGCTGAATGATGACGCGGACGAATATGAGAATACAGGCACCAGAGCAGGGCCTGCCGCCCAGCAGTGTCCCAGGACATTAGCTCTTGTTATTGTTTAAAAGCCAAACAAGACCAAAAAAAAGAGAACATGAAGTCCAAAGATGCAAACCTGGGAATGTGGACAGGCCGATTAAACCCCGGCAGGACTTGAGAAAAGAATGCGTCAGCCCTGGCCGGTTTGGCTCAGCAGTTAGAGCGTTGGCCTGTGGTCTAGAGAGACCCGGGTTCGGTTCCCGCTAAGGGCACGTACCTCGGTTGCAGTGTGTCCCCGGCCCCGGTTGGGTGGTGCGGGTGGCAACCACTCGATGTGTCTCTCTCACATCGATGTTTCTCTCTCTCTCTTAGTCTCTCGCCCTCCCACTGTATCTGAACAAAAAGTGGAAAAGTGTCCTCAGGTGAGGATGAAAAAAAAAAAACGAGCCCACTGGCTGGTGTTTCCAAGCGGTTCAGTAGGAGAGGTCTTTAACCCGCTGGGGGTGTCCAGGCGGCTTCTGGCTTCTGCAAAGACAGCTCTGTGGCAGGCCTGGGGGACGTGGCAGGACCCAGGAGGCCGGGATCTGCTTTGTCCCACAGCCGGCTGGCTGTCGGAGCAGGCCCTTTGTTGACTCAGCCGGGCACTTTCCACCCTGCCCAACAGGCACAGTCAGGACTGAGCCAGCCACCCAGCTGTGGCCCAAACCCATGCTGGCTTACCCCGTCCCGGACTGGCTGCCGGCGAGGGCCCGGCACCTGAGTAGGATCGACTACAGGATCTGCATGTCCCCGTGTTCAGAAGTGAATAACAATGTCAAGATGGGGACACTAGGGTACTAAACCAAGCACAGGGCGTGGCGCCTGCACCGGGACACCCCGTGAAGCCAGCCATGCCCCCCACCCCCACCCAGCCCAGCAAGGCCTCCTGACTGGCTTAGACTGGACCTTCTCTCTCTAAAGGTCCCCCTTTGGCAGATCCAACCCACACTCAGGGCAGACAGGGCACGTGCTGTCTGGAGGCTGGGAAAGGCGTGTCCCCAGCCGTCGCCTGGGGACACACGCGATTTTCACAATCCTATGACCTGTACCAACCAACCAACCGAGTTGGGCAATGTGTCCCAAATCCCAGACTGCTGGGACCGTGAGGATCCCCTGCTCCCCTTCCACCAAGGGCTTTGGCACCTGTGCCCTGGTGTGAGACCCCCTCTCAGCTGTCCAACCCCCCCAGAGAGGCCACCCTGACCCCTTGGGCTCCAACTGAGTCCAGCCCCGGTTTCTTTGTATTCTTTCCAGCTCTTGCCCCTCTCTGAAGCTGTCACCTCGATTTACATGTCTACAGACCTGCAAGAATATGAACCCCAGGAGGGCAGAAAATTGTATGGGGCCCAGGTAGATGCTCAGCAAATATGAGTGGAATAAATCACCACCTCTTCAGGGTGGGCTTCCCTGATCACCAGCCAGGCCACTAGCTCATCATTACCATATCTGAAGTGCCCTAGTGTAGCTCTGGGTTTGCATGGAGGCCTCTAGTCTCTCCTGCCCCCCACCATGTCACCTAGAGGACAGGGTGCCCAGTACCCAGCACAGAGTCTGGCCCTGAATGAGGAGCATAATATTTACTGACTAAATGAAGGAAACTTTGTTTCCCTACTTGCAGCCTCCCTCCCATGGGCTCAGGCTGGCCCAGCAGAGGTGGTCTACCCCCACCAATCCCCCCCGTCCCCCGGCCAAGGCTGAGGCGCTCCCATCCGGGCCAGGAATACCTCTTCATGTGCCCAGTCTAACCGTGGGTTCTGTGGCCCTCACCACTGATCCCCAGCACCACACAGGGCGCTTGGCACACATTTTTGCATATACAGTTGTGACCACCATGCCTGACACCCTGCATTCGGCCTCTAGACAGACCCAACTTTGGAACAGGGCAGAGACCACTAACTCGTCCCAGGTGCCACCAGCAAAACAGTGAGGTCACATGGGAGTAGGCACGCAGTAAATATGACCAGTGCTCTTGTCCCAGACAGATCAACCAGAGCTCAATGTGGGTAGGGTTTTGTGTTTTATTTTTTCACCCACTGAATTAACTGGTTATTTTTGCCTGCTGGCGGTTTAACCTGGATTGTATAAATCCTGCCTCATTGCCAAGACAATCAACGTGTGTGTTTTTCCGCTTGCCAGACAGGCCAGATGTCTGCGAGAGACTTGGAGGAGGACAGGGGTTCGCCTGGCATGGCTGAATTCCCAGCGCTCGGTGGAAGTTTGTTGACTGAATGAAGGAATGGCTACAAGGAGGGGCACCATAGCGGTCTCCTTTGGCCTAGGCAATGAAGGGGACCCACGGTCATCCTCAGGCGCAGCCAACATTTGCAGGGTCCCCCAAGGAACCCTTAGAACCTCCTTCCTTGGGCTTTTTCTCCAAGCTGCAGAGACCAAATTTCAGCAAGACCTATCCCCTCCCTGCTCCTGGACCAGTTGTTGAAATTGACCCCTCCTCCAGGTGGGGCTGAGACTGCACAGTGATCTGACACAGGCCCTGAGTGCTCTCCCCATCCTGGCCCCTGGGCTTGGGCCTCGCTCTAAGAGTCAGCTTCTCCCAAACAAATGATGGCCAGTGCCTTTGAACCTCCCTCTGTACTGTGCACTCATGGGCTCCCCCATAAAAGTTCTGCAACGCTCTGATTGGTTCCAGTCTGTTAAAAGGAAATAACTTTTAGACTCCCCCCCCCCCCCAATACAAAAATAGTCTCTGCTTATTACTAAAACTCCAGGCATTACTGGGACTTGGGGATTTTTAAAGAACTAGATTGTGTGTGTTGCCCTGGACCGTTTTTGCTCAGCGGTTAGAGCGTCTGCCTGCGGTCGGGAGAGAGACCTGGGTTCGGTTCCCGTTAAGGGCACGTACCTCAGTTGTAGTTTGTCCCCGGCAGGTCATGCAGGAGGCAGCCACTCAATGTGTCCTTTTCACCTCAATGTTTCTCTCTCTTCCTCTCTCTCCCTCCCACTCTATCTGAACAAAAAATGGAAAAATGTCCTCGGATGAGGATAAAAAAAATTAGATGTGTGTGTTGAGCAGGGGGAGGTGGCACAGATGCCCAGGACTTGGATTGAATTTAGGTTCCACCATTGTGTGAGCTTGAATTAAGCAAACGACTCCAGGCCAGTTTCCGGGTCTGTAAAATGGGGCTAATAAAAATCCTGCCTCCCAGAGAAAGTGCCAGGTTGAGTTCATATCTGGTAAGTTTCTGGCACCGGGTAGACCCTCCATGTAAAATACAGGTTTAGGGAAGGGTCTAGGGGACACACCAAATTGCTAAAAGGTGGCGATGTGCCGGAAGGGGGCCTCTTACATAATATTTCAACGTCTTTTTAAACCAGGAGAATGTGTTCTTGGCACTTGTGTAATTAAAACTTAATGAAATAAAAGTACGTCTCCGCACTTCCTCCGCCTCTTTGTGCTCGGAGCCGCGCCCCCCGCAGCCGGCGGCCCCTCGGGCAGCAGACAATGGGTGTGGATTCGCCCCGGGCCCTGCCGGCTGGGACTTCTCACTCGTCCCGGACTCGTATTTACATGACAAGGGCTCTGGGCATTTATCTAAGCTGTCCGGGGCGTGTCTACGCGGTCTCCAGTTTTCCCAGTCGACCTGCTTGGGGTCGGGTAATAGGGCGCCAGGGGCGAAGTGGGCTAGGGGTCGCGTAGGCTGCAGACCTGGAGGCAGGGAGTTTTCTGCGGATCAGGTATTGGGTGATCTGGAGGGTGCCCCCTCCTCTAATTCCCCCTGCCTTGAGCCTCAGGGACCTCGTACTCCTTTGGGAGGACAGGCTCCCCCCAAACTCTAGGTCAAGGACTCGGGGGGCTCAGGGGGCGGGAAACGCACCCCCGCACGTGCAGCTGGAAACGAATCCTGCTCCTCACACCGGGGTGTGAAGGGCAGGGGTCCCAAACTGACCCTTGTAGGGGAGGGGACCCAACGCCCCTCTGCTGCGCGGGTCCCAGGTCTTTGCGGGCCGCCTCCCTCTGGCCCTTTAAGAACCCGCCCCCTTCCCCATTACCCCGCCCCGCGGCCCGGGGAGGGGGTGCGGGGGAACCTCGGCGGGGATTGGCGCAGCGCGCGCCCCCTCCCCGGCCCCCGCGCGGTGGGAACCGGCAGCCCCGTCTAGCGCTGACGTCAGACCGTCTGCCTGCCTCCGACCGCGGTCTCAGAGCGAAACCCGATCTCCTTGGACTTGAATGAGGAGGAGGCGGCGGCGAAGAAGGAGGCGCCCGGCTGGGGGAAGCCAGCAGCAGAGGCTCTGCCCCGGCGGCAGCGCGCGCCCCGGCTGCCAGCCCATTTTCCGGACGCCACCCGCGGGCACTGTCGACGCCCCCGGGGCTGCGGAGGGGCGGCCGGAGGACGCGGGGGAGCGCGGCCCCGCGCACTGAGTCCCGCGGCGCCCCGGAAACTTGGCGGCGTCCCGAGCCCGGCGAGCCGGGGCGCGCCTTCCCCGCCGCGCGCCTCCTGCATGCGGGGCCCGAGCACCGGGCGCCGGCCGGAGCCCCCCCCGGCCGCCCCCGTGCCCCCTGCGCCCCGCGCCGCGCCGCCACGCCGTCCATGCACCGCTTGATGGGGGTCAACAGCACCGCCGCCGCCGCCGCCGGGCAGCCCAATGTCTCCTGCACGTGCAACTGCAAACGCTCTTTGTTCCAGAGCATGGAGATCAGTGAGTGACCCCGCCCCCCCGGAGGCCCCATCGGGCTCAGACCCTGAGTCCAGGCGCAGCTGCGGGCGGGGGCCCGGGCTGTGCGCGCCCCCTCGGGCCGTGAGCCCTGCGCCCCGGCTGCGCCCGCCGCGCCCCGGGCGCGCCCTCCCGGCTCGCGGCAGCTGGCGGCCGGCCCGGCTTTGTCCCGCGGCGCTGCGAGCCTGGCACAGCCTCCACTGCCCGCGCCCCGCCCGCAGGGACTCGGACCCGGGGCCGAGTGGTGGAGGGCGGCGGGGCGCCCGGCGAGAGGGAGCTGGGGCGGGAGGAGGCGTGAAGTTTCCATTTTATTTCCCTAAGGGGCAGTCGCATTGGAGCAATTAGGCCGGCTCTGTATCAACTTTGGCTGGGAGGGGGGTGGCGGGCGTGTGAGACACTGGCTCGCGAGGTGTCTGAGGCTCTGGCTCTGTGTCTGGCGTGTGCGTGGCGCTGTGTGTCTCGGTGTCTGTGAGTGGGTTTCCGTGCGTTTGTGAAGTGTGCGTGTCTGTGTCTCTGGGTCTCAGCGCGTCGCTCTGTGTGTCTGGGTCACAGTCTGTCCCAGGAGTATGTGTTTGCAGTCTCCTTCCGTCTGTGTCTGGGGCTAGGTGCCGCTCTTGGGGGGGGGGGGGGGCTCTGGGGACCGTTTGTGTCCAGGTGTCCGAATCCAGGGCTCGGCGCTGGTGGGTCGGGCCCAACGTGGATCCCGAGTATGTGTGTCATTGTGTGAATGTCTGTGTCCCCGACGCACCTATAAATATCTTCTGTCTGGACAGCTTGGCTCAGTCTGACTGGGACGGTGGTTACAAATGAGTCAAAGTTTGGGGCTGTCTGTATTTGGGGCAGCCTTGCCCTGACCCGGAGGTAGAGGAGGGTAGGGAGAGGAGTGTCTGATTTGCCCCGTACTTCCGTCCTACGTAGCCCACCCAGGTGGAGGTGCGGTTGGATGGGAAATTGACTGCCACCCTCTGGGATCTGCCTTCTAGCCAACATCCCTCCCCCAGCCACCCTTCTGAGGACCTCTTGACTCTCTGAACTCGTTTCCCCAACCTGGGCGCCGAGCTCCCCAGGCTAGGGGGCACACGGCCCTTCTCTGCATGGCCAGCTTTCCAGCTGGGACCAGGAGCCAAGAGGCAGCTGCCACCGAGCCAGGGCAGTCACCAAGTGACTCATAAGCCAGTTTCCGCAGGCGGCTGCCACAGCTTTCTGCCCCTGAGCCTGTACAGTGAGGCTCAAGAGGTAAAAATAACCCATGACCTGCCTGCTGGGGCAGGCGGGCAGGCTTCGGCGGTGGGTCCTTCCATTCACTTCTCCCCACCCCCTCCAGTCCTGGAATGGAAAGCCTCGCCCCCACCCCCCCCACCCCCAGCAGCCCTGCGCCAGGCCCGCGAGGTGCCAGGAGAGCCTGCCCAGAGCCAGCGTTTGCGGAATTGAGTTGCATTTAAACCAGATTGCTTCCCAAAGGCCCTTTGTGAACTCCAGAGGCTAATGAAATGCACGAGGATATTATTAAAATATGTTTGCACATGTTTGGAGAGAGTCTTGCGGTGCCAAATGGATTGCTGCTTAAGTGCCCCCACCCCCTGCCTCCTCTTTACCCTCCCCTTCTGTGAAGCGGCTCAGGAAACCCCCGCCCAAGGGGTCCGCGCTGTGTTGAACTTGTCACCTTGAGGGCTGGGCTCTGACATTCCGCTCTTGTTCTTCCTTTGGGTTCAGGGCTTTAAAAAACACTCATTCTTATTTCTGTCCCTTCTGTGACTAATATTCTGGGTTAATACTTGCCCGCAGGGACCCTGGAGGGTAGCGCCTGGAACCCTGGTCTGTCCAGTTGGCCCTGGGGTGGCCCATTAACCTGGAATTTTTACACAGGGCCCCCTACTTATTGGAAGGAGGCAGCCAAAGCCCAGGTGTACCGGGACAGTTGCAAGCGTAGTCAGATTTCAGTGAAGGGTCTGTTGAGAAAGCCTTAGGGCCTGCAGTCTCTTTACACAAAAAGAAAGGAAGGAGGCAAAGAAAGATGGAAGGGAGGAGAGCATGAGCAGTGGCCACCGTGGAGCTCAGACGGATAGCTCCAGGAACACTGCAGATGGCTGTGGAGGTGGCAGCACCCCGGGGCTGTTCCCGGAGAGATTGTCCGGCGTTAAGCCTCCTCAGCCTCGGTTTCCTCACCTGGAAAAGGAGACCCTGAGGTTGAAATCCTACCATCTTTCAAGAGGGGCCTCTGCCCTCCAGACTCTGGCTGGAGGCTTCCATGTCAGAAGTGGTCCCTGCCCCCGTGGGCTGGGTCCTTCGTGTGGTCTTCAGTGGCCCCAGTTTCAGACCTGGGAGGAGCCTTGGCCAGCTCAGTGCCCTCGTTTTATAGATCAGGGGAGGTGGCGACAGAAAGCTTCGCCCCAGGTCCCTCACCCACGCTAGACCCAGACCCACGGTGATTACTCGTGGAGTGCACACACTGCCCCTTGAATGTGGAACTTGGGCCCCAGAGCAGGTCCACCTTGAACTTGGGGGGCTGGAGCAAATCAGCAGCATCCCTGGAGGGAGGGAAGTGGGGAGGGCTCTGAGGAAGCCAGACATCTGAAATGGGCTTGACTTGGCTTTCCCAAGACATGGCAGGGGCCCCCGTCATTTCTGAGAGTCAAGGGGTGAAGGGTGAGGTCTGATGGCAATTCACTGTTCCCAAAACACACCCCACAGAAAAATCCGCCATCCTTTAGAGAGCAGGGGTCTTGAGATGAAAAACAGTGGGTTCCAGTGACACCCCACCGGAGATGGCCGCCCGGGAGGGGGCTCGCTCCGGCTCCTTTGAAGAAGGGGATTCTCCTGGTATGAATTCTCCTCGCGTCCTTGCTGACCTCTCTTCAGTTCCGCTGTGTCTCTTAGAAACGACCCCTCTTCCTCCATCAGCGTCTGCTCTTGGGGGCAGGTAGAAGCAAACGGCTCTCTGGACAGATGGAATTGTAGGTCATTACAGCTGTTGGCTCTCGTGACGTTTCTTGAGGGCCCTGGGAGGCACCCCCGCCCTGCACCCAACCTGCACCCTGTGGGCAGTATCTGCAGTGGCATTTTGGGCTCAACCAGTCGTTGAGCCTCTGATGTCTCTTCTCCCCCTGATTCTGGACAAGCAGTCCGACACAGCCTTCGGGGACTCACAGGTTCTGATGGTTCGTCCGACAGTTGCTGTTCCCCGTTCACACTCAAATCCAGGCCAGATGATTCCTCGTGGGGATGGAGGGGAAGGTGGTGCTGTGCTGATGATTGGCAGCATCCCTGGCCTCTCCCCACTAGATGCCAGCCGGAGTAGCATTCACTCCGCCATCCGGGTCGGAACAAGTAAAAGCATCCGCGTGCTTCGCCCCAGGTCCCCCTAGGGTGCATGGCCCCTGGCTGAGAACCCCTGCGATGATTGGTTTCTGCAGGGGGGGAGTGGGGGGCGACACACAGATCTGAGTTGTCGAATCCTCAGTTCCCATCGGAGGTCAGTCCCTGTACATAAAGACGGTCACTCTCCAGTTTGGCTCCTGTTGTGTGAAGGGCAGGTTGGGCTCCTTGGTGAAGTTTCCAGTTTCCGTCATGGATTTGCATTTAACTGGAGGAGAGACAGGCATCCGTGACAAGTCGGTATGGAAGATTCGGGGTAAACTAGGGGTGCCGAAGGCCCGCTGCGCCCCTCTGGGCCCTCTCAGCTGGGATTTTCAACCCACAGATTTTTTTTTTTTTAATCCTCACCTGAGGACATTTTTTTCATTTCTTGTTCAGATAGAGTGGGAGAGAGAGAGAGAGAGGAACAGAGAGAGAGAGAAACATCGACGTGAAAAGGACACATCGAGTGGCTGCCACCCGCACGACCCAACCAGGGTCGGGGACAAACTGCAACCGACGTACATGCCCTCAGCGGGAACCGAACCCGGGTCTCTCTGGACCGCAGGCCGACGCTGTAACTGCTGAGCCAAACCGGCCAGGGCTCAACCCAGAGATTTTACGGCTGCATCTCAGGTTGAGGTGCAATTAGGGGTTGCGTTTTGACTGGACCTCAGCTGCACCGCTCGGTGTGGCCCGGGTCTGGGTGGGCTTAGCGTTTATCAAGACAAAACATCTAATTGCTGCTGCGTACAAGTACACACACGTGCACACCCACGTAGACGTGCACGCACACTCGGCCGCCACCTCTCCACTTTCCTACCAGCTTCTCTTTGGGTGGGGAATGGCTGCAGCTTCTCCTGGGCAGGCAGGTAAGAAAGAGAAATGGGCCCCGGCCGGTTTGGCCCAGCGGTTCGAGTGTCGGCCCGCCCACAGACCAACAAGTCGTCGGGGTTCGATTCCAGTCAAGGGCACGTACCTCGGTTGCAGTTTGTTCGCGGCCCTGGTGGGGGTCATGTGGGAGGCAACCAGTCGATGTTTCTCTCCCCCTTCACCCCTCCCTCCCTCCCTCCCACTCTGTCTGAAGATAAATGGAAAAATATCCTCAGGTGAGGATTAAAGGGAAAAAAAGAAGAAAGAAATGGGAAGAAAGTGCACACACATTTCCCCCTGAAAGTTGTACCGATGCATGTACTTTCCCTTCGAGAGAGAGGGGATGGAGTGACGTGGGAAGCCACCAGGAGAGAAGGCTGTTGAGGGGGTCCCGCCGTGGCTGCTGGTCTTCAGCACATAAGGTACACGGGCACCCCGATACCTGCCCCACCCAGGGTTTTGAAACGTCTATGGTTTGGTCAATTGTTCACACACAAGAAACATTTCGAGAGGAGGATCCTCCTGGTGGTCGGGCCCAAACCAGAGGGTCTGTGTGGGTTTTGGTTCCAAGTAGGATCACCCAGAGACAGCTGGGCAGCTGGGCCCCTGCCCACAGAGAAGACACTTACACATGGACTTTGGGAAGGCCGTGTGCCGCCCTTGGGCTCTGCTGCACAGCGCGTGTGCCGAGGGAAAGAGATCAAAGCCAAGGGCACATTTTGTGCTTTGTAAAAGGTGTGGTGGGCTCACGTGTGTGT